CATTCATGGGCAACTCTTGTAAATAAGGTGGTAGACAGTCCTTTGGGGTCAAAAATTAAATGTGACAAAATAATAGGATATTGAGAACAATTTGCTGCTAACTTCAAATTTTGTAAATTAATTTTGAAAACTGTGCCAATAGGGAAGTAGGCAAAGTGTTTTGAGCCAAGGCAGTAGCCTTAAAACATGTAAATATAGAATCTACCAAAATTTGCTGAGGACCAGGACCGACCCTCCTGTGTTGGAGAGGTGCTGAAAGGTAAGTTCAATGCTAGCATAGATGAAAGTTTAGTCCAGCAGCCTGTGTGCTGTCTCCAAGGAATATGGCAACTGCCATCAAACAATCATTCAGCGAAGTTATTGAAATTCTTGGTCCAGAAAATGGGGTGTCCAAGGTGATGGCTCAGCTAATGTTGGGGTAGTTTTAAACAGGGGAAGCACCAGGTTATTGTATAGAAGATTAGGGAAAACAAAATAATATATTTTTTTAAAGATTTATTTATTTATACCTACAAGAATTGGGGTACAGGTCAGAGGTCAGAGGGGGTGAGAGGATTCACCAGAGACAGAGTGGGGAACAAACACTAGAAATCTGACTGTAGAATTGAGGCTACCAGAGAAGAAGTGTAAAAAAGGAGCGTAAGATGTAGAGGGGACCCAATGAACCATGGTGGAGGACTAGGGGTGCCTTGGTGGTAATGTGCATCTAAAGAGGTGTGCACCTGTACACCTGAGTTACATACTGTGTTGGAAGAAAGAAAGGGAGGAAGGCAGGGAGGGAGGAAGGAGGCTCTTCATAGGCTAATAACTAAATGAGTCATTACATGGAAAATGTCCTGTAATTCCTGGTATGTTAGTTAAGCACTCGCACTACACTTAAGGGAAATCACTGAGGAGTCTCAGAAATGGGGTTATGGGATTGCTATTTGTATTTTTTAAAGATCTTCCTGATGGCAGTTGGGGAGGCTGGACTGGAGGGGACCAAGAAATTAGGCAAAGGAAAAATTGTATAGGGGTAAAGAACCAGGGGAGACTAGACGGTGGCAGTGAGGATGATGAAAGAGTTATTAAGGCAATGGACTTGTCATCAGTTTAGAGAAGAAAGTGAGGGAAAGAGAAAGTCAGTAATATTTCCTGAATTGGGGGCTTGGGCGATTGGGTAGCTGGTGGAGGGCGCTGGGTTTGGGAGCCGGGATGGGGAGAGAGAGTGGAGAGGCATGGTTTGCTCAGCTGTGGCAGGTTGAGTTTGAGTGATGTGGGACCTCCAAGGGGAGCAACCACTAAAAAACCCACTTCTTTCTGCATAGCAGTCTGAGGCTAATATGCTTAGCGCTGTACATATTTGTACTTAATATTAGTGCTTAATATTTAGTGTTTATGATCTTGGCTTTTTAAGTTAATGCTGTGGGAAACATCTTTGTTCATATTTGAGTTTTTCCTTTGAGGATTATATAAGTAGAATTACTGGGGCAAAAGTATGTTACTTTTAAAGATTTTAATTCATCTTGCCAAAATGCTTTTTAAGAAGTTTGTACCGGGGCCTCCCCTGGTGGCGCAGCAGTTGAGTGCTGGGCTGCAAAGCTGCCTGCAGCCTCTGTTCGATCCCCTGCTGCTGGCGAGGGTCCCACAAGGCGTGCAGACCTCTCCTGCCGTGCCCGCTGCTCCCCTCACCAGTGTATTTTGTCAGTCTGCCTGTTCTGTTCCCCGCTCTGGCTCTGGTGAATTCTCTCACCCTCCCGTGCTTCTCACTGTACCCAGTGCTTGTATAAATAAATAAATCTTAAAAAAAAAAAAAAGAAATTTGTACCTACAATAGCCTGCCTCAATGGTATTTTTTATAAATACCACCCCAAAAGTTGCCAGCATATGGGGAATGGTCCTTTTTTGTGCTACTGATGGACCTAACCACCAACGTCATCGCCATCCTCAGAAGTTGCTGTTTGCCTGGGTCCTAGGGAAATTCGTCAAATCAATGTGTGTTGCTAATTAACATGTTACTGGTACTACAACCCAAACTATATTCTTGAAACCACAATGCTGAGGGAAATATAAATATCCCATTCATAAATCTTCTCCTTATGGGGCATGGATATAGAAGAGAATGTACTTTGTGAATAGAAAGTTCCACTGTACCAAAACTACATTATTTGAAGAGTGTGCCCACTCCATACCCCAAAGAACTGATTTCTTGTAACCTTTTAACCATGAATTAGTGTCTGTACCTTTATGGAAATCCAATTTCCCTGAATCAATGAGTGCTCTATGTGAAGGCATCATTTGCTCATCAGGTATGGCTTTAATACAGAATAAACTAAACTTTCTTTTTGATATTTATGCCAATACATGTTCATCAAACTAAAAAGAGAAATAGTCATTTTCATGGAAGCTAGGTCAGTTCTACATGTGGCTGAGATGAATTATTAGTCCGCAGAGTGATTTGGATGGCCGTAATTGTACTTCCACCACTGACCACATGCAGTGGACACAACACACTGCAGGGTAGCAGGTGCTGGGAGAAGGGTGGGCACGTTTGGTGTCTTCTGTTAACCTTAGCTTTGTGACCATCAGTCTTAGATTTGTACATTCATGTGGTTTCTATCTGTCATCTTTGTTAAAGGGTCCTTAGAAGGGAAACTTGGGTAACTGTTCTTATCCATCTGTTGTATTTAATTAAATATTTCATTTGTACCTTCCATAATCTATTAGCGGTCACTTAATCCAGGGAGCCTTCAATACCACCAGGTGCCTCTGCTATTCAGAATATAATCCTCCATCAAAGTCTGAATGGAGACCTACACTTACTTTTGGAAAACTTTCTCAGACCTAGTCCACAGTCACTGTTCTCAGGATTTAATGAGAGGAGTCCACAGTTTTTCAAAGGAGGCTGGGGCTAACTTGTATGAGGTGAGGCTCTTGTCAAATAGGGAAGTAATAAAGACTGATCATCTCATGTAAACCATAAGTTATTTTGCAGTATGTGTCAGTCTGGAGTGGCTTCATTGAATAGGTGAAAGAAAATACTTCTGCTTAAGGTGAACTTGAACTTGGTAGCTCCTAAGTGACCTCCTTTACTGCTGGGACTGTCATAATTGAAGGAAATTACTCTGGTTGTGGTGGGGAGTTATGTACAATATAATGCATCCCAATATTAGTTACTAGGGTATTCCTGGCCCTCTTGGCACTCTCTGTTGTTGCATTAAAGAGCTCACTTCTGGGACCTTCCTGGTGGTGCAGCGAATTGAGCACAGTGCTGTGAAGCTGTCCACAGCCTCCATGGTGCCAATTCGATTCCCAGCTGGCCAGGGAGATAGCCAAATGGCGTGGCAGACCTCTCTTGCCTCGTCCGCTGCTCCCCTCAGCAGTGTATTTCGGTCCTTCTGCCTGTTCTGCTCCCTGCTCTGTCTCTGGTTAATTATTTTACCCTCCTGCACCTCTGACCTGTATCCCAGTTCTTGTATAAATAAATGAATCTTTAAAAATATATAATAAAGAACTCACTTCCCATCCATTTGTTCACTTGTACAGGGGCCTCCAAATGAATGTTGTGAGAAAAGTTTACACACTTCGCTGAACCCATGTATCATTGGTGACTGGAAATCCTAGGGGTCCTGCCTGTCTGTCTTTTTGTTGTTGTTGTTGTTCTTTACATCCTTTGTGCTTGTTCCTATATTCCCACAGATTATGCAATGGAGCTATTTTGTGATTTTATAATTAAGTAGAATTGAGGGATGTTAAAACTAAATCTCTCTCTAGCTACAAATTCCTTTAGAAATAGAGACCTACATATGACTTTGAGAAATTAGCTATGACATTTCCAGCTGTAATGGTTATTACAGAATTTAGATACAGAGTATATGAGGGAAGTGAGTAGTAGTATCAGCTAGTGACTGGTAAGTGTATTTTTCAGAACACTGGAACTCTAAAAAACTAAGTTTTCAGAACACTGGCCTCTAGAAAAAAAGTGTTTCCAGTCATACAAGTTTGGGAAACCCTACATCCTGTACCTACTTCCCTTGAATTTTCACAATGAAAAGCCAACTCTGAGAGAACATGCCCGTTTATTTGACCCACATATTTATTCTCTGTGTAATAGTTAATGTTCTTCTATAGGAACAGTCTCATCATAGACTGTGAAGCCAAATGTGAAGCCACTTGCAGAGGTAACAGCCAGTAATGCCAGGACAAGCACCGAGGGGTGGTTGGTAGCCTCCCCCAGGATGGCTGCATTATTTATATTGCTAGCATCAAAACATTTCAAGATTATTTTTGCCCTTGAAATTTATTTAAAGAACCATTTCTAAAGTATCTATGATCCTGGTTTAATTTAGAGATTTATCCCTTAGCAGATGGGAAATGTGTCAATTGGCCCATTCAATTTAGCAGTACTCTTTATTATATGTAACAGAAATGGAACCTGAATAGTAAGCATGATGGAGAGCAATACGCTCACAAGGCTCTCAGTCTGAGGGTGGGGAAGGGAGAAAGCCAGTAAGCAATTAAACAAGTAGATGTGTAATTACAAATTACAATCGGTGCTACGAAGAAAATTATCTATGTACTGTCAGATTGAGTTTAAATTTGCAACCTTTTTTTTTTAAAAGATTTATTTATTTATGCATCCAAGAACTGCGGCACAGGCCAAAGATGGGGGGGCGAGGGGAGAGGGGTTAAGAGGATTCACTAGAGACAGAGTGGGGAACAGAACAGGCAAACTGACTGAAATACACTGCTGAGGGGAGCAGCGGGCGAGACAGGAGAGGTCACTTGCGCCATGTGGGTTGCTCCCTGACCGGCCAGGGATCGAACTTGTGCTGCAGAGGCTACGGATTGCTTCATAGTGCTGCTTCTTAACCCCTTGCGCCATCAGGGAGACCCCTGCAACCATTTTTTAATTCACCCAGAGTCAGAAGGGATCAATCTGCTGCATTTAAGATCATCTTGGTACTGGGTCCTGACTATTCTGAACCTAATTAACAGCCTTCCCCTTTGTGTTTTTCCAGCCAGGTGGAGCAAAATGAGAGCACACTGAGCCGGCCAAGCCTCTCTCCCAGCCTTCCCCGACGCCCACCATGAACCACTTGGAGGGGTCCGCGGAGGTGGAGGTGACCGACGAGGCAGCAGGCGGGGAGGTGAACGAGTCCGTGGAGGCCGACCTGGAGCACCCCGAAGTAGAGGAGGAGCAGCCGCAGCCGCAGCCCCCGCACTATGCGGGCCGCCCCCAGCGCGGGCGCGCCCTGGAGGACCTGAGGGGTGCGCAGTCGGGGCAGCAAGACGAGGAGGAGCACGGCGAGTGCCTGGCGCGCTCTGCCAGCACGGAGAGCGGCTTCCACAACCACACAGACACAGCCGAGGGCGACGTGATCGCCGCGGCCCGCGACGGCTACGATGCGGACCGCGCGCAGGACCCTGAGGACGAGAGCGCTTACGCCGTGCAGTACCGGCCCGAGGCCGAGGAGTACACGGAGCAGGCGGAGGCCGAGCACGCCGAGGCCACCCACCGCCGCGCGCTGCCCAACCACCTGCACTTCCACTCGCTGGAGCACGAGGAGGCCATGAACGCGGCCTACTCGGGCTATGTCTACACGCACCGGCTCTTCCACCGTGGCGAGGACGAGCCCTACGCGGAGCCGTATGCAGACTACGGGGGCCTCCAGGAGCACGTGTACGAGGAGATTGGGGATGCTCCGGACTTGGAGGCACGCGATGGTCTGCGGCTGTACGAGCAGGAGCGCGACGAGGCGGCCGCGTACCGCCAGGAGGCCCTGGGCGCTCGCCTGCACCACTACGACGAGCGCTCGGACGGCGAGTCTGACAGCCCCGAGAAGGAGGCAGAGTTCGCGCCCTACCCGCGCATGGACAGCTACGAGCAGGAGGAAGACATCGACCAGATCGTAGCTGAGGTGAAGCAGAGCATGAGCTCGCAGAGCCTAGACAAGGCAGCTGAGGACATGCCCGAAGCTGAGCAGGACCTGGAGCGCGCGCCCACCCCAGGCGGGGGCCGACCCGAGAGCCCTGCCCCGGCAGGGCAGCAGCAGCGGGCGGCGGGCACCGCGGGTGGGGAGGCGGTGCAGCGGTACAGCAAGGAGAAGAGGGATGCCATCTCGCTGGCCATCAAGGACATCAAGGAAGCCATCGAGGAGGTGAAAACCAGGACCATCCGTTCGCCTTACACCCCCGACGAGCCCAAAGAGCCCATCTGGGTCATGCGCCAGGACATTAGTCCCACCGGGGATGGTGATGACCGGCGGCCAGTGGATGGAGATGTGAGTATGTGTGGGTTGGGGCTTACTCTGTTGCACGCTCCCAGGGGAGATGCGTGCTCTGTGGCCGTGTTTGTCATTGGGAAGTGACGCTATGAGATAAGTGTTCTGTGGGAGCGCTAAGAACGGGTACCACCTTAATTAAGCCTGAGCTTGCACTCAAGCGCCAGTGAGTACAATGCAGGTAGAAGGGAGATAAAGCATCCAGTGCTTATCAGGCTCTTGGAGGGATTGCTGTAAATCAGTGGTTCTCAAACTGTCCTGGAGTGCTGGTTCTGAGAAATTTCTAGGCCCACCCCATCACTCGGTGTCTCATTCAGAAGGTCTGGGATAAGGCCTGAGATTTGTATTTCTAGCCTCAAAAAAAAAATAAATAAATAAATAACAATAAAGAGCAAGTCCGGGCAAAGTAAGGACTTCTTTTTTTAAAGATTTATTTATTTATTTATACAAGAACTGGGGTACGGGCCAGATGCGCGGGAGGGTGAGAGGATTCACCGGAGAGAGAGCGGGGAACCGAACAGGCAGACTGACGAAATACACTGCTGAGGGGAGCAGCAGGCGAGACAGGAGAGGTCTGCCGCCGCCATGTGGGTTGCTCCGCGCCGGGCAGGGATCGAAACGGCACTGCAGAGGCAGCGGACAGCTTCACAGCTCTACGCTCAACCGCCTGCACCACCAGGGGAGGCCCAGGACTTTCTTGAAAAAGATTATTGCAAAGGGGAGAAAAATACTTTTGTCATAAGGGGAGCCTGACTGTTGCAACAGGAGAACCCTCTGGCCATAAGATCTGCAAGGAATGCTGGGATTAGACAAAAGGGGTTTTCATTGAAAGAGAGGAGTAAACAAGATGTGCGATGTGGAATGAAAGCTGACCTGAAGGCATTACACTGAGAGACTTTGAATCTGCGAGCAGCTTCTTCTCAGGAGGGGCTATTGAGGGTTTTATGCTGGTCACAGTTCAGGGACCTACAGGGAGGAGAGAATCTTAAGGTAGGTTAACAGAAATTTTGTTCTGATTAAGCAGCAGTTCAGCTAATAATTTGTGAGGAAGCAAATGGGAATTTGGAGGATCTGTGCCTGGTCTTGTTGTAGGTTAACAAGTCTTATGTATCAATAGATATAGGGGTTTTGCAGTAAGCTCTTTAACAACCAAAGGATGGAGACAAATTACCTTTATCTTGACTGTTTTCCAGGCTCACTGGGCTCAGGTGAGGTTCTTATTAGTTAACAAGTTCCCTTCCAGGTGATGTTGATGTGGCTGATTCCAGGATCACTATTTGAGAGCTGTTGCCTTTAAAGCAGTCCATTATAAAGATTTGGGGCAGGAAGTGTGGTCTCTTTGGAGAAAATCCTTTTGAGCCTTTTCCTGCCAGGGGTTTCTGCCGTTCTATTACCCACCTTGTGTCCTCACTGCGGTTTTCAGTAAGTGCTTAATCTTCACTTCTGTGGGACCAGGGTGGCCTTCTCATTTCAAAAAAGACAGATTTTTTGCTTTGTACTTCCTTGTGAAAAGCTACAAACAGTTATTGCTGCCCCTGTTGACATTTTCTTTTCCATTTTTGAAATATCTAACAAATGTGATAACATGGCAAGCTTAGGTGTCACAATCTAATCAAAATAAATCAAGAAGACTAACCTTTGTCTTCACTACCTTGTTATAAAATTCTGCTCAGATGCTCACTTTTCCATTCTCTTGAAGAAATTTTAAGCAGTTTTATTTAAAATTGTGGGAGCTTGGAATAAAAGAAATGTCGAGGTTAAATCCAACTTCATTTAAGTTTGCATTTTATTACACCGGACTATTTCTCAGTATATCTTTTGGAGTGAAAAACCATTATTTGTAGCTGTTTGTTCATTTTACTTATACCTAAAGGCCGTGCATTTCAGAAGTATTCACCTCCTCTTTTAGTAACACTCAACATTTGTTAGCTGATTAAAATGCTGGCACTTTTAAGGAATGGTTGGAAACAGATCAGGAGAGAATCTGCACTCTCCCCTGCAAGGGGGCAGCATTGGCTTAGTTCGGCCTTGTATTCTCTGTTTTCCATGCTTCACAGTCAGTTAAAAACAGCTGTGCTCATGTTGCATTCTCCTTGACCTCCAGCTTCTCCAGATTCCTCCCCTCTAGGAGGGGAAGCAGCAAACATTTTGCAGATGAAGTAGAAATGGGGCAGGTTTTCAAAAGTAGGGAGCTGTCAAGAAAGCTGGGTTCTATATCTTGTTAGAAACTTGGAAAGCCATCAGAGAAAATACTGCAGGAGCTTTTGGTCCAGACGCCGGCTTCTCCCTTCAACTTTCTCACATGCAACAGCTCCTGAAATGACTGCCTTTAGCCATATTGTCACTTTGACTTGAGATGAACCCACAGTACAGTCCAAGGACTGTTGTTCCTGTGAACTAAGAGAACAGCTCAACTCTGTTGCTTGACATTTCATTCAAAAAGTAAAATTAATTCTAGAATATTGAATGATGTTTTAGAAAGCAAAAACCACAACCTTGTGTTTAAAAATATTCCACCAGTTATATTTAAGCCATTTAAATTTGCAAGTTGTATTTTTATCTGTCTTGCCATATTTATTGGAAAGACATTCATTGACTATCCCTTTGATGATATTATGCTGGGGTTGGGAGGTGGGAGGCTATATGTATATACTTTCTCTTGATTTTTCTCTGCATCACAAACTTTTCACTGGATGCTTGGTTCATATGTAATATTGCAGAAAATAGGAAAGAAGCACTGTTTAACTCAGTGTGGTCTAACATCTGTTCAGAAGGTACTTGTTAAAAATATAAATTATTGCTTTTCCTTTCCAAATCAGTGATCTGGGTTTTTTGTGTTTTTTTTTTCTGGGGGGAGGAGGTGTCTGTTTTGCTTTATTTCATTTGTGAACGCTCCCTGTGATTCTTAAGTGTGTAAAAAAATTAAGAACCACTGACTTCAAGGGAAAAATATACCATCTGCAGTTTCCTCGTGTGGATTTGAGACTTAACTAAATATAGTTTTATCGGCACAGATACAATTTTAACAATAAGAACTGCCCTATTGTGGCCATGGTCAGCAGTCCTAGAGAAGTAATCCTGGAATTCTTATTACAAAAGCAGTGCACTCTCAAAAAGGTGTGATAGAAACTTCAATGAGGCAGACAGAAGGAAATAAAGAACATCTGTATTAACACTTGCCAGAGAAAGCTGCTGATGGCTAACTCTACTATTAACATCAGTTTTCATTCCCAAACTTTAGCATTTTTCCCCTCACTTGAAGCAAAATGGCATTTGTTTGCTGGTGAATTGTACAGAATGAGAAGATAGGACTGCTCCCCAGGAAGAGCTCATTGAATATATACAAGACACTCAGCCCTGAGTGAAATAATCGTTTTCTGGAGTTTTAAAAAACTGATTTGCTTCTAGTACAGTTTCTCTTTTCCAAATATGTTTAAAAGCTACCTCCCAACCCCCTTCTTGAAAAATATTTTTAATGAACTATCAACTCTGAAAAGTTGCAAAGCCTCTTGTGCTCACTTTAGGGAACAAAATGGTTTTGAGAGCAGAGTCCTGGTAGAATCGGAGATGCTGGTAACAGACACAGCATACATGGCGGGCGTGGGCTGCTCTGAGCGGTGTGTTGTGCAGCTTGAAATGTTGATTATCTCTCCTTCTCAAGCTCCACTAAAATGACAGGGAAAAAGTAAAGCCACAAGCACCGAGACAGAAGAAACAGCAGGTGAGAAAAATAAAATTGTGAGGCACCAAAGTGGTGCCTGGCTGTGTTAGACATTAGTGCTCCCCAGAATTTCCATGTGTGCTCTTTTTTAAGCACATTGAGGACTGCACAGTACTTCCTCATCCCTTGGAGGTTAGACATGGCTGATGAAATGGGAGAATGGAGTGTGTGGTGAATTCTAGGCAGCAGAAGCTAAGCATGCAACTTCCCTTGATGCCTCCCATTAAGATGGCCATTTCGCGAGATAGCAGAGCCTCTGAGTGTAGGTCTCAGGTGACCTGTGTGGACATGTACCCTGAGAGCGGAGTCAGCCTTTGTTATTTAAGCCATGGGGATTTGTAATGGTTTGTTACCACAGCATAATCTGATTAATTCTTAAATCACATTAATGAAGTTTCCATTTTCTGTGTCTCTGAGGATTTGTGCAGTGCCCTCTCCCCCACCCAAAAAAAAAAAAAAAAAAAAAAAAAAGCTCAGGAATTTGAGACACCCAATTCTTCAGATAGCAGAAGTATGTCTATTACAAGAGACATGGATTTCAGATCCCTTCTGTAGAGCACACCACCAGGTTACTACTTCTTCCCTCCCCCATAAAGAAATGAGAGGTTTACTACAAGCAGAGGGTGAATCAGAGCAGCACTGAAACCAGGGACACCAGTCACAGCTGAAATGGGAATGAAGAACCTTCCAGGGCACGGGGCCTGCTAGGCAGTAGTAGTAGTTGAGTAGAAATAGAGAATGCCTTAGAATTCTTAGCTGAATGCCTCAGAATTCTTAGCTGTTGGCTTAGGACCCACCCATCCTAAGGCCTCAACCTCTAATAGGAGACTAGAATAGTCCTCTCTGAAGAAATAGGTCCAAGAGAAAATGCCTACAACACTAACATTCGAGGGTTTCCGGCAACACCTTCTCCGCCCCATCACTCCACAGTGAAGGGTTCTGCCACTCCTGGATCTTCCAGTGGCTTTTTGGGGACCCACTTAAATATGAGCGTACAGTCAAACATCACTGGATGTTTGAAAAACATCTCTAACATGAACTACAAACACACGAGAAAAGCAGGAAGAGGATGTGAGACCCAGGAAACAGAGGGTCTAACATGGAAAGAGACAAGGGATTCTCCAGGGTAAAGGGGAAAGAGACCCAAGATTACACTGTGTGAAGGCCAAGATGGCAGCTGATCGAGTGTGGATTAAAGCTCAAAGGACTTCAGGTTGGAAGTTTCCTGAAAGGGTAGAAATGAGAAATTTCCTAATTTATTTGTACTGAGAGGAATTTA